ATTATTTGCTTATGTCATATAACATGTTTTTAAAAATGCCAATTACATTAAAATCTAACTTATTTTGATCTGATTCTTATTTTATTTAATATATTTTTAAAATAGTTATTTTGCTATATCAAATATGATATCTCAAACATTTAAATCAAAGTATGTTATATAGAATATGAATCAGATCAAATGTAAAGCATGTACTTAAGTGTTTGAGATGTCATATTTAAGACACCAGAATGAAGATTTAAAAACGTGTTGCACGAAATAAAAACCGAAGAGTCGAAGAAAACTTACATGATCTCGTTAGGTGTCCATAGCATTGCATATTGGTGAAAATCCTTGGTAGGATCGAACCAGAGGTGGAATTTTTGTTCTCTTCCTATGATGTTTCCATCTCCGCTTCCTCTAATGTACACATTTGTTTGTAACGTATAAGGTTTATCGGGCGTCGTACCCAAAAACTCGATGTCCACTTCATCGTGGTTCCCCTGATGATCCTCGTTATTCGAAAGCTGTACGTCATCCATCCATCCAACCACGAACAAAAGCTATATATTAATTACTACTTAAAATAGAAAGATATATGTAAAAACAAGTCCTATATGAATTAAAAAGTAGATTTACGAGCTCTTTATATCAGTGTGGAGTTAGTGGGTTACTAATAAATTCCATTGTGATATTAAGTTGAATTCGAAGTTATTATGCCAGTATGTTGTTTTGGGCAGTTGGATATTACAATATATGTATATATATATATATATATATATATCATGCATTAAAACTTGCAATTGCTTGGATTGTAAGTAAACTTCAACGTCATACATAAAACGATGTGATGACTCCAGCAGTGTAACCAGGGTGAAGCTTGACCGCTGCCCCAAAATAACCCGATTTATAAGATTTTATCGACTTAAAACCACTTCCTGTAACACAAAAGTTCAAACAAATGAAAGATCAGCGGATTGTATATGGTACAATTAATTAGAGGTGGGCATTTGGACCCGAGTGTGATATCATCAGGCTAGACCCATTCCCACCTCTACGACTAATTCATCAATGCATGCTAGCTATAGCCATGCACCCTGACTAAGCCCACACCCACTATACTGACCTGAAGACTTGTCGAGCCAGATGGTGAGTGAGGTTTGATCGAACCTCTGGTTCTGTGGGCCCCATAAGTTCCTGTAGGCTTGATCAAAGGGTACGGTTTGAACCATCGAGCTCGGGTTATAACCGGGTGATGGTGGGTTTCCCTGACCATTGGTTAAAGAAACGAAAAGAAGGATAAGAAGAGGTAGAAAGAGGGCCATGGGTTGTAGGGTGTGGTTAAACGGAAGAAGTACAAATGAGAGATATGTGTAAAGAACACAGTTGGTGAGATATGGTATAAATAAACAGATTCTGTAGGGTTGATAATTGATCCAGAAATATATATAAAAATTTAAATTAATATATATATAAAATAAAAACAAAACATGGTTTTGTAATATTATGGATACGTGGGAGAAAGATATTGCTCAACTTTCTTTTCGGTTTTTGGTTGCTTTCCCAATTATTTGCTCTTGTTTTTACAAATAAAGTCACACACCCTCCTGATTTTTGGTAATGTTTGAACATTTAATCTCGTAGGAGGCCAAAGACTACGATACCACTAGAACAAAGTGTTCATCTTTTATTCTATAAGAAAAATGTATTTAAATCATATCTCAAAAATCTAATTCACTACAATAAAATGAGTTTTTAGGATTTCTACAATAGTTCTTTAACAAGCTAATTGAGTATCTAGTACAATTTAGGGCGTATTTATTAGCAACTTAATGAGATTTATAGTTTATTTGGTTAGTTATATATGATTTTGATAGTAACTTAGGGGCTGTTCACCAATTTTTTTATTAAGTCATGTATGGATAAATGGGTGGTGTTGTTTACTTTTTTTTATCTGAATCAACAGTCTGAATAACATAAATGACCGATTTACCCCCCAATATTAATTATTTGAACATCAAAACAAAAAATCATAAAGAGGCCGACGATGGGGTGGCTCATATGGGAAGGAAGCGTTGTTTTAAATAGGGGGTATGCGTGTCATTTTTGTGGCTGAATGAGGACAACACATCATTTCTATCTGTGCGATTAAGATATGTTCTGTGTGAATAAGCCGTAAGGAAACAACCCAAAGAAGCTGTGCGAATAAGCCAAATAGACCAATAAGTCTAATTAAGCCACAACTTAATGATATAGAAAATGACTTATTCCGTATTCAAGTTTTTTCGAAACCTGCATCTCCTAATTAAGAAAACATGTTTATTTCTTTTATGAAAAAACTATCAACTAAATACTTTCTCGATCTATATAGATAAATTAATCCACACAAAGGACTTTATACAGACATGACTTAATAGAAAATCAACCAACAATAACATAGGTTTATAAGGCCGATAATTTTTTGGTCTTATATAATCACGTTATAATAAGTTGTTAAATGAAATTAGACGATCTAACCACTTTTATTGATGATGGTAGATAATCTAATAGGACAATACCAAATAAATTATTTTATTAGTATTTTATATGATATTTTTGAAAATCTTAACATTTTTTTTGAAGCGTCATATAAAATTATTAACAAGAAGATTTATTTTTTGCATTCAGTTACATTGTTCAACTTTGTTAATACAAATTTTTAGACGACTGAAATCATCCTAAAGATTTATTGTAATAATTATTTTTTAGGACCAACGGTTGTTGGCCATAAAAATTAATAGTCTCGTGAAAATAGGTTTATATGCAATTTCTTAAAAATATTATGAAATAGTGAATATGACATTTTATTTTTAAAAAAATGTTTTTAAAAATATTGACAGAACATCCAAAAATGTCTTATAAATCTATTGTAACAGTTTTAGATAAGACGTTTTATTGTCTGATCTTACAAATCTAAGTTTTATAAAACGGTCTACTAAAATTAAGAGTACATGATGATTTTCGTTCCTATAATTTGAGAAATATTCAATTTCTATCCCTATGGTTTGGAAATTATGATTTCTATCCCTAAGTGAAAGAATTTTATGGGGCGGGGGTTTGTCCTTAAAGGATTTTTTTATTAACCTAGATGTCCAACCCGCGGTACGAGCTGACTAATCCTAGAGCGACCACATGCTTTGCAGATTGCCCGGAGTCATCGCATTTGAACCTCCGTGGCCACAATGGAATTTTTATTTCTCCTTGGATTTGAACCTGACACCTCCTGCTACTTTTGACTTTTGGAGTCAAGCTCAAACCAATCCTATTTTGGCAAGACGAAGAGGGACAAGAGGTGCAGAAGTATTCGACACGTGATGGATAGCGTAAAAGAACTCTAAATTGTTGTTTTTGTTCCTGAGACTCAATATATTAAAAATCCTCCATTTTTTTATTTTTTGGTATTTTAGTCTTTTTAATTTAATAAAACTATATATTTTTTGATAAAAAAATAATACATGAAACAATTATATTATTTTATTATTATTTATGATAAAATAATTAAATATTTTTAATAAAATTAGTTTTTTTATATATTTTCGGTTATTATTTTATTGATTTATGTCCACATGATGGAATTTCGTGAAATACAAATTAATAAATTGGATCCAATTAAATTGACTTTCATCTTCGTTTTAACAATACAACTATTTAATATAAAACAATTTAACCCTTTGTTGAAAAAAACAGTTTAATTTACATATAAAAATACAAATGCACATTTAAGCATTTTTGTTCATAAAATTAAAAAAAAAAAACCTATTAAGATCTTTTTAGTTTTTCCTGAAAATTTATGTATGCTATTTATTACTGACTGTTTATTAAATATTTACCAGATAAATGTTTATCAGGTGTCCTTATCTTGTTGAATAAGCATAAGACTGAGAATTTTTTACTTGTAAGCGATGAAAGATTTTTACTCGATAAGTGTTTACCGTGTAAAAGATGTTTATCAACCACTTATTTTAATGGTCGAGAATATTATGGTGATATTTTGATGAGTTTAAGAGAGAAATGACTATGAGATAAATCCAACAATTGAAAATAACTATTTTAATTAATTTTCCCAATTTTGCATCTTATACAAAAAAGTTGTTAAGACTACGTTTGACAATCTAAACAAGTTTTAACTAAAAGGGTTGTGGGTAGTAGTTGAGGTTCCGGGGGATACGGTGAAATATCTCATCTATCTAAGGTTTGATTCCAGGTGTACATAACAATTGTGACCACTTAATTTATCATAAGTGATTTCATGTAGTCACAGTTTGTTGGAATTAGTTTAGGCATAGCTTGGGACACCCTTCCAAAAAAAAAAAGGAAAACAATTAAAATAATCATTTTTACCTGTTACTTTCACCTTTTGGCCACTCCGCAATTTTTTTCCCTAGACCTGGGTGAAAATGTAAATTTTTTTGTGACCTAGATGAGAAATGTAATTTTTTTTGCGGACATGGGTAGAAAGTGTAATTTTTTTTGTCTTTTAGCTAGGTTCGCATGTGGGTTTTTACGAACCTATGACTATTCTAGTAAACTTATAGAAAAAATGGTCAGAAGTTGAAACCAACCTTTAAAAATGACTATCAAATTTGACTAACATAACAAAGCTAAATAATTAAATCATTTTGTTAATTTTTTATAAGACTTTTTTTATAAATCAACGACTTAAAAACCTGAATTCTTTGATGTTTTTCTTTTTATTTTTTAAATAAAAAATAAAAAAATAGACATAATTTTCACATATCCATTGTGTCAACTGTCAAGGGGACACTGCCCTTGCTCAAATTTTGACAAATTATAGTCAAAATTATTATTAGTCAACAAAAATTAAATGGAGGATGTGTGAAGTCATGCAACCCACAAATTAGGGTTCTTGTTTCATACTTTCTTACAAGCAACAATAACAACAAAATCACTCAATTATAGCCTCAAATTGATGCATTATCGGCTTTGCATGATTGCTTGTTATATGTCTACCTTCGTTTAAATTCTAAGTCGTTTTCAATTCGATTCAACCTGTCCATTCGTCACTGTTAAAAATCATGATATACGGATTCATGTTCGTATGGATATCTTTAAAATCGAACGATTTGATGGCCAGCTACTTTAAAAGCAACTTCGTTCAAAAGCCTTGTTTTGTAGACCCAAGTGAGACCAAATATAGTGTTTTTTTTAATTGGACCTATTCTTTTAAATACTACAATTCGATTTTGATTGATGTCGTATGTCGATCTCTCTTGCCGACAAAATAAAGATTTTTCTGATAGTGTATAGTGGAACTTGCTTTCGATGCACTATTCCACATTAATACCAGTAAGCAATAGCTGTTAAATTTACCAGTCTTGTGAAATAAAACAATATCTGTATTTTTATATTTTAGATACGATACGATATGATACGTGATTTTATGTATCAAAAGAGTTTGTTTGGAAGTTATGGTAACCCTAAAGCTTTTGCTTTACATACCAAATTGAATTCCATATCGCATCTTTGTGATCATGATACTTTTTTCTGAGGGTATAGAATTTAGAATTAGTTCTTACCTGATATAATTATGACATCATAAAAACAATTCAGTTAACGGAAAACCAGGATTTTATTCAAACATTTCAGTTAACAGATACCTGCAAAGCATGTGGTCGTCCTGAGATTAGTCGGCTCACATAACGAATTAGATATCCAGATTATTAATAAAAAAAACACATAAAATTTCCAAAAAAACGTATTATTTAAGTTGAAAATAGTTATGGGTAGGAACATATATGTGCTTAAAATCAACATCCATATAAAAGAGACACGTTTTCTACAATACCATAAGTCGCATTCTCTTATTTTATTTTATTTCACGAATTTTTAATGAAAAATAAATAAATAAATTGAGTTGTTGGTGATTTATTATAATTTTCTCCATGCCATTTAATTATATTATGAAACAATTAAAAAAACAATGTTAAATATCAACCTATAACTAAGAGTTTTGTTATATACAAGACTAATAAATAAAATAATATGCAATATGGTTTATTGAAAACAACGAATTTAGTCATAAGGGTGTTTTCTGATTGGTTTGAGCTTGGGCTCCTAATGTCAAAAGTGTCTGGAGGTCTCAGGTTCGAATCTAAAGAGGAATAAAAATCCCTTTATGTCAACATAGGTTTAAATACGGTGATTCGTTGGTGGTCGTCTTGGGATTAGTCGGCTCGCATAGCGGGTTGGATATCCAGGTTAATAAAAAATATAAATAAAAATAACGACTTTTGTCATTGACGCTAACTCCTACTGTTAAATATGAGAGAAGAAAATAACAATTAATTATATGGATGAAAATATCAATAAATTGTAAATTATTAAACGAAAACAACAATAAATTACAAATAATAAAGATGAAAATAAAATAAAAATATAATAAAACACAGTTGACATTGAGTAATAAAAAGACATCATAATATTTATATAAAACAATCCAAATAAACATAACATGTCAACATTCTTTTTTTTTTCCATAAACAACAAATTTATGAAAGAAAAACCCAAAAAACAAGAACATGAAAGATTCTTTCTGTAAGGCGCAAGAAGCTAAAAAAGAAAAGAAACCTAATACTAAGAGAAAAAAACACGAGAAAGGAAGAGATTTAATGGCATCAAACAGGTTTGTCTAAAAAACAAGGGTTGTGGTATAATGGTTGAGGTTCCGAGGGATTTGAGGGAATATCTCATTTGCCCATGGCTTGATTTAAGGCGTACGTAACAGTTGTGGCCATTGAATTTATAAAAACTGATTTATTGCAGTTATAATTTATCATGATTAGTCTAGACATCACCTTAGACATCCTTCCGAAAGAAACACCAATTCGTCCAAAAGTAATTGAAATCTTTTAGACAATTAAAAAAACAAAATTTAATCTAAAATATAACGGATCAAAAAACACCACCAAGATCCTTTTTAAATAGTTGACAAGCCAATCAATAATTCTTGTGGGTGAATCTTAATTGGGCTTAACAAACTATAATTTAATGGGCCAATGGGCCATGAGAAAACGGTATGCAATTTTGTATATTAATATGGCTATAGTCCGATAAATTGTACAAGAATTTAAGCGTCATTCCCCCTCCCCCTCCCGCTATATAGATTAGAGGTGGCCAAAAATCGGTCTCGGTCCGGGCTATAACCGGTTACGGCCGGTCTCGATCAAGACAAAAATGTTTCATAACCGGTCCCGGTTCCGGTGAAATTCTCCATAACCGGTCAAGCTTACCGGTAACCGGTTAAGCCATCCGGTCCCGGTTCCGGTCCCATAACCGGTTACGGCCGGTCCTATAAAAAAAATATTTTTTTTCAAATTTTTGGTAATTAATAAATTTATATATATATATATATATATATATATATGTGACAAAATATATTTTTAAACGTATTTATAAAATTAAACGTATTTATTTATAATATGTTATTAATATGTTTGTAATATGTTATTTTTAATATGTTTT